AATGTAGCCCTGTAATACGATGTCTTTTGTGTTATCCGTTGTATTATGTTCATGTTGTAACCTACTTGCTGCCATGTTGGACCAGGTCACTCTTGAAAAAGAGATCGATGATCTCAATGGGACCACCTGGTTAAATAAAGTTTTTTTTTTTTTTAAAAAAGTGTGTTAAAAAAAATATATATATATTTAAAAAAAAAAAAAGAATTTAAATCGTGGTAGATTTTGTCAGTCTCACGACGGTATTGGGACGTTTATTTACCGCAATATTCGGTATATCGTTACATCCCTAGTATAAACTGTGCAACAGTACAGTAGGCCCACACAAACTGCAGAACACTGGTGCTTTGGGAACACTCAAATTATTTAATTCCCATTTAAAATCAGGAGACTAAATACGAACATTATGTGTGTGTGTGTATTGTATAAAGCTACACCATTGTTTGGTTTCCATGGTAGCGCGTCTCTTTAGCAGCACGCGCAACTCAAAGTCTGAGAGGGTGAAGAAGATAGTCACAGAAAACTGAACAAGAATCGACAACTCGACCCTCTGCTCACTCCTTTCCTGTAAAATACAGGTCCAGCCCACACATATGCTCCATGGTGCTACAGGCATTGCATTTACAACTACAATAAGCATGTAAATGTTAATCTACAGCTCCGGCGATCCACTAGCACCCGGAGTCTCCGCTTGCAGACGCAGCCATCCTCGACCACTACTGTAGCGTCACCTTGAATACGAGTCCAAACAACTCACAGACACACAGAGCGCTGACAGGGCGCCCTATGACCATCAGATCTGACAACGCTGATTGGCTGAAATTATGTTTCGGCGGCATAGTGTACAGACAGCAACAGTCAGCAATGTGTTGGCTGCTGCTGCTCTGGCTGAGGGCTCTTTCTTAGCGCCCAGACGAGAGAGGGCAATGATACACGCTGCGGCCAGGCAGGAAACATGTGACTTATCAGTAACTTTAGACATCGTAACACAATTTTAAACAATATTTTATTATAGATTATACATTTTACTGATACCAACTATATAATATTTACCTTGTTCATTAAAAAAAAAATATATATATTTTTTTTTAATATATATTTTTATTTTATTTTTATTAGTGATGACAATCAAACATGTGGGAAGAGGGGGGCGGCGCCCCTAGCGCCCCTATATGGGCCGGTCGACACTTCTTCCATTATGACTCATCTAATAAAACGTATTAAGAGATTACAAAATAGAGAGAACTAACTGATGTTACAGCAGTGTTATCTTTATCAAGATAGTGGAGCTTCCTTCAGTGTCATCTATTTCAACAGCTAGCCCACAGCAGCCCATAACGAGAGTCAGCACCTCTTAGCACCGCCTGAGAAAGCATATGGCGGGCGTGACAGCTCCACTCTGAGCGTTACACACCACAGAGAAGAAAGAGATGGAGGTCTGTCTCTCAGCTGGAGGCTATTACACACTCAAACAGGCAGTGGAAAGAGTCTGACAAGTCGTTCAGTGAATACATGAAAACCCACAACTACATAATGGTCAACTAATGGTCAGCTTTGAGCTACTTTTTGTTGTTTGAATTTGTTTTCGTTCAAGTCAGTTAAAGAGCTTTGTCTTAACATCGTATTCCTATACTTCACTATGAGTCTATTAAAGCCTACGATAGACCATGTTTATATGATATGATATGTAACTCTGACTCTCTAACTGACTGTATATATTTACATATTTAACAGTGTCCGTCTGAAACGCACAGAAGCACTGTAAAATAAGCACTGTTTCGTTAAGTAACATTAAAAGAGAGTGAGAGAAACTCACCTGCCGGGAACCTTTGCGTTTCTCCTCCAAAAATTGATCCTGTTCTCGGTGGCCATACTCGGATAACACAACCTCCTTCAGACCGACACCGAATCCGGCTCCTCGCACGAACAAACCATAGGGGAACTGTTTCCACGTTTCACTGGCGACAACTTAGCCCCACTCGGCTCCTTATTTTCGGCCTGTCAGGAAGTTTAAACCACGGGTAGATAGTAATATTTAGCTTTCTTATGCGATAATGTCTGATACAGAGCCCTGGAAGTCGCCATCTTGGAGCACACCAAGCGTGTGATTGGCGGGCTGGTAGAACAGGTGCACTGACAGTGGCCAATAGGAGGGGAAGGTGGAGTGACGGTAGGGATGCTCGTGCTTACAGACCATGGGATACAGATTGAGGGACACTGGGGAAACAATATGTTTAAAACTTCATCCTGGTAGGGAGAAGTTTGTTGTTGTTCTAAAGGAGACTACTGTTCAAAGGTAAAGACCTCGTTAGGACATGTAGACAGACACCTCCGTGATGTTAATACGTTTGGCTTTAGGTAGGGCAAATTAATTCCTACAACTTGACAACAGACAATTTTGCTAGCAACCGTCGACCTCCCGAAAGACAGGTGTTGCTACACCCCATCATACACTGTGACCTGTCATAGGTGTTAGCAACAGTGGTGGAAGAAGTATTCAGTTTCTTTGAAAAGTACCAATAAAGTAATGATGAAATATGCTATTACAAGTACAAGTCCTGCATTCAAAATCTTAAGTAAAGGCAAAATTACATAAATATTATCAGCAAAATATACTTACAGTATAAAAAGTTAAAATAATAATTCTGCAGAAGAATTGCTTCCATGTATGATGTATTATATGACATTATTAGATAATATGGTAATATTTGAGTACGAAGTAGCATTTTACTCTTCTATATAAACAAAGTTTTGATATTATTATATATATATATAATTATTATTGTTATTATTATTATTATTATCATAGGATAGTTGATATAACGCTTCTTCTCTTGATCTCCAGATGCTGCACTTACATCCTCTGTCCACACTAGGGCAGGCATTTTCTTCTACAATGAGAGAGCTTTGGTTCAAAAATGAAACCAGTTGAACCAGCTCCTGTTTACTGTAAAGTGAGTTGAACAACAGAAAGCTGACAGCACAGAAGGCATCACAGTCTGAATCATGTGTAGCCACGAAGTGAAATCAACAGATCGCATTCAATGAACTAAGTCACTATATTTCCATCATTGTTTATTTGATCCAATGAACCCAGGTGACTTACACAGAACATTTTGAGGTCCCTTTGCCCTATTCAAATGCATGCAAATGAAGTTTTTGTCGACCTGATTTTAGTTTTACATGCCAGCGTGTATTTAAATTGCAGGTGCTCTCCTGTGTCTGTTTGTTAAGGGAAATCACTGTAATTCCCCACCTGTGTTCTCCTCCTCCAGCGTCAAACGAACTTCAACTGACGAAACCCAGGTGAGAGTTTTTACTTGGGTTACTCACTGTACAACTGTAGTATTTTTACATACTGGGAACAAAATGTTAGTTGTGGATCTCTTGCTGTTAAGAATGGACAATACCTCTATTCACACAATTTCCGGGATATGCCTTTCTTTTTTTGAGAGAGAATCTTTTAATCTTGCCTCAAGCGCATCTTGTGACTTTTTGCCACTGCGATGCTTTTGGTGTGGTTGTCTCTCTGAGGAGAGCCGTGGTGTGAAAGTAGTCGGCTGGGGGGAGATACACAGTCACAGGGCAGGACAAAGGGGAAGTGTGTGTGGGACTACTGGAGTGGCTCGGGGCACTGTTTACTTTTTTTTTCTGTCTAACCATACGGTTACTTTTTTCATTCCTTAGTTTTGAGTCTTTACTTCCTTAGGTATTTACTAAGTATCTGTTTTAATGCAAATGTGATCTTGTTTCTACTTCAAACCTAATTTGAATGCCATGCTTGCTGTTCTAGTGTACACTGAAGACAGTAAATAAGTGTATGATGTGTTTTCTCGTGGCATATGCTCAGTGGAGTTTGAGCCCCCAGCTATATTTTGGTTTGTGTAACCCCCTTGTGTTCTCCCTCTCAACCCTGAATGGAAAGCATTGTGACTTTTTCTCTTTTTCTCGTCGTCCAAACCACTGCAACAGCATTCTTTAAGAACATCTTTGAATTTGTGTTGAAGTCTGTTGTGCTGTACAGCTTTTTTCCAGTTCAGAACCTTTGGGGAGTTGAACCTATATGTTTTTGCACAGAAATTGTTTCAAGTTAAGTCAGTTTCTAACTTTTAATTGGGAGTTTATTCAAAGCGTTTGTGAGAAGAGGTAAGAGTTTCTTTTTTAAGTCAACTGTGTGAACTTTATACTAAAGTAAAGCTACTTTTAATCCTCCTTTTGAATGAAAAGCACTGTTTAAATATGTATTAATTATAGGCAGATACATGCATTATAGTAAGTTATAAACCAACTTATTAATGTTTTAATCCTGTTTATGAATTCTAAATACATGGTTTTACTCGTTTTAAATTAATACTTTGTTCATCTACATTATAGTCACATGTTAGCATTGTTTTTATGATATGAGTAAACAACCCTTTTAAATGCTGAGGACCTCATACAACGACACAACTAGAGAAATGTAATTACTACTGTTAGAAAAATAGCTACACTGTCCCTGACGATAAAATAAACTGTGATATTTCCTATTTTTCCTTTTCAGGCATATGGTGATGTATAGCCAAATTC